GCTGGCTGGGGAATTCTGGGAGTTGAAGTCCTCCAGGCTTAAAGTTGCTAAGGTTGGAGAGCCCTGTGTTAGGCCATAGCTGGGTATGCTTCTGCATGCAGGCCATGCTCTCTTCTTGGCAGAGAATCCAGGTGACTTATAGCAAAAGTTGTGTGAAGTTTTATGCCGTAACAAAGAGCACGAATCGGAAAAAGTAACGCACCAAACCTTCTGCTTGGCAGGGTAGATAGAAGATTGCAAATGAGATCTAATCCGGTATATTAAAGTGGGAAGACCAGACTGACTAATTATTGCCAATCAGTTTATGAGACATCATTGGAAAGTTATGTGAAACTCTTCTACCAAACGTTTCTTGATAGGGTGAGCCAACAAAACAATTATAGCCAAGGGGTTAGAGTTAAGAGTTCTTGATTGTAGATGAGTGTTTCCCTTCTTCATCTCTTGACAAAATATACCAGTCCGCCAAAAGTTTCTCTAGAAAAGCGAATTAATTTCTGAGGCAGCATGATGAAAATTAACAATTTCCTCTCTACCCCAGTTAATGATGATGTTGCATGAAGGCACCTCAGTGACATAATTACAACTGCTAAAGTATTCAAACACATGTTGTGTTCCTCCCCTTTTTGATTTTATACATGATATTGTCTAGGCTCTTAATAGGGCTAAAATTCAACCCTGGCAAAATCAATTTCCATTTTTATATATACTGAAAATATTGTTATTCTGTCTGTGTTGCAAGTGGGTCTGTGGGTCAGCTTCCACCTGCTAACATCTTTGGTTGACCTGAAATAGTCATGTGAAACTAAAGTAGTTGTATTTACAAGGTGGAATGCTAATCGAGCCCCATATTTGAGAAATTGATAACAACCAAATGGAGCAGGTAAAGGCTTTTTAATATCTAGACATATACTTCCAGTTGTCATCTTTCTGAAAACACTACTCTTTAAACTTTCATAGTGTGCTTGTTTCTTAATGCAATAATTCGATATATAACCTGTAGGAGCAACAACTGCTGTATGCGCCCACAGCAATCAAACTTCTAGAAGCTCAAGTGAGGGGTCCTTGGTGATCTCTGAGTTTGGCTGTTTTCTTGCAGACACTTCATTACCCAAACTGGGTAACATCATCAGTGCTAGATGACATCAGTGCTAGACACCATCTAGCACTGATGATGTGACCTAGTTGGGTAATGAAATGTTTGCAAGAAAACAGCCAAGCTCAAGAGATCGCCAAGGACCCCTCATTTCAACCCTGAGCAACAAATTTTCCCTTAACAGTAAAAAGCCCAGGTATCTGGTGTATTGTGCATAGTCTTGCATTTCTAAGAATATATGTAGGTTTAAGGCAGTCCAATCTAAATTTTTGAGATCCTTGCGCAGTGCCACTGTACTTGGGTGCATCTCAATCAAGGATCACCTACTACTCTGCCAATTGAAGTATTGGATTGATAAAATTCAGGGATGAATCTTTAGCTCAACTATTAATCAATAGAGACTGCTCTCCTTGAAAGAAATAACAACCCGGTCCAATGTATTGTAGCCCCCAGTTTTTTATCCATGCTCAGCCTGATCTGGAGAGAGCTCAGACGGAGAAATTTGACTTTGATTCAAAGAGAGAGGACTAACACTATATCTCTACTGCAGCGAGCACTGTACCATGCCTCCATCAATTCTTACCTTCTAAATGGCCAGCATTAGGAAATCTCCAGAATGATACCAACGTTTTATGCCATGATAATGGCAATCAGAAGATACTGAATCTGACTGTATTTTAGTTATACTTATTTTCAGCTATAATTTTTTAAAATTATATTGTAATTTGTTAAATTAAATAGGTTTAAATTACAGAATGTTTTTTCAGAATGTGCTGTTGAAATGTGGCTACTGTATGTGACACAAGTAGCACATTGTGGGAAATAAAGCATGCATGAACATAAAGAGGTGTCAATATTTGTCGTCTCCACAGCCATCTCCATATCTGCAAGTACAAATGGGGAGGGCTTTGGCTATGGCTCCAAACCTGCCATCTTGGAAAAAGTTGACCATGCTTGTAAATGCTGCTGGTTGACCCCTTGCTCACTGAATATATTTGTAGGCAGATGTACGATGCATGTTACTGTTATCACTCAAGGTGTATTAGTTGGGACCCTAACTGGATATATTCCTGTATACATGATGATATCTTCTTGGCAGAGAACTTGTAGCAAATGTGGGATAAGTTGTACAATGCATCCAGGAGTATGAATCTAAAAATCAGGGCAATAAAAGTCGAGATGGTCCTGCTTGACAGAAAAAATAGATAACTTTACAGCCAGTCCTCATTTAGTGATTGTGGTGTAGGTGGTCACAGGGAAGGAACATGCAGTCTGTTGCGAGGAAGCAATGCTAATCTAAAGAAGTGACGTGTACAAGGCTGTATTCCACTTTGTTCTCCAGGACGGAGAGTTTTATATATTGGGAGAAGCAGAAAAGGAAGTTGAATGTGGGGAACTTAAAAATAATGGGGTCAAGAATAAAGGGGTGCTAAATGAATGTGAATCGAGTGCAGAAGGGGATGTTTATTATGAAATGGTTTCTTCTAACCATTTTCAGCCTTTGAAAAGCCACAGGCTGTTTATGTCTGGATTCCCAGTCATCCAGGTCACGGTTGTCCCCAAGGTGTTTTTTTCAAGAAGCAACTGGGCTTCTCATCCAAGAAGCTTCTTCAGCTCTTCAGACGCCTCTTGGATGAGAAGTGAAACATCTTCAAAGAAAACAAGAAAGTCCAGTTGCCTCTTGAAAAAGCACCTTTTAGGACACAGGCTGTTTAGTAGATGGAAAACAGGATTGTGTAGCTTCAGAAATGGGACACTATGACTTCGAGGTGTTGCCTTGCCTTTCTCTCTCCCCCCCTTTAATTCAGGCAATGCCTTACTGGGTTAGTATTTTGTTTACAAATGAATGCAGGCATGCAAATACATGTTAATTATATCAAAATAATTATGTCTGCAAAATTAGTTGGAACCAGCTAAAACCTTCCAGTTGAAATCCCATTTTCCTGTGTTCATGTAGTTACAGTGCTGCAGGCAACTTTCTCGGGGATTATCTAGGATTCTGAACCACAAAAATGTTTTTAATTAATGTTCTGAGGCTTTATAATATTTCTGTAAGGGAACTCTAAGAATGGACAGGTTGGTATTCACTCTCAAGGTAGGATTTGCTAAGAATACTTCTGGGCTGAGCATTGCACGTGGATGTGGATTAGTCTTCCTGAGAAAAACTTGATTATATCTCTGCCAGTGTCGCTTTTAATGCTGTTCGTAACGTGTCAGAGAAAGAGGCCCACTTGCCTTTTGTGAATCTGATGTATGAGCAATTCCCGTATCAGGTTTATTTCATGAACGTCCTGCTTCATGGGCCAATTCATGACTGCAAGGGCTCTTTCACTCCTGGTCATGTGGCTTCAAGAGCTGCCATATTTATTTGGACTATTTTGCCAGGTAATGGTTTTTGCTTTGAAGGCAAATAGGGTTTGACAAATAGAAGATTAGGGGTGCATGTATGTGGCTCCCAAGAATTCCTGGGCCAAGGAATAAGCAGCTGAGGGTGCAAATGCAGATCGCTTGGATCCTGAGGTGCCAGAGGCGGGGCAAGAGTGTGTGTGTGTGTTGGGGGGGGGGCGTGTTTCCCACCTTCCAAGGTTCAACTCAGAATCCAGAACTGATAGATTGTCAAGTCACAGCGTAGGTTCTTGCTAGGCAGAACAGCTTGCAAATTGAAATGTTAGGTCTCTTTTTTTACTAGCTTTTTTTGGTACATTTCTATTTGTGTAACATAGCTTAATCTTTAGGCAATAATGGGGCTTGGGCACATTCGGGGGTGGTTGATAGATTAATAACAGATCCCCCTCCCCACCCACCCTATTCCCTCCCTCTTCGTCTTTTAGTTAGAGTTGAGCATTTGTATTTTTATAGTATTGTATTTGTATTGTTTATAGATGTTGTCTAGTTTCACCTTTTAATATTATAAGTCACCCAGATTGCGATGTGCTAAAATTGGCAGTCGATCAATTACTAATACATCTTATTGTTTATATAGTACTACTATATATGATAAAAGTAGAATGAAAGCAAAATGAAAATAATAAAACCATGAATGAATGAATTCTTTATTGGCCAAGTACGATTAGACACGCAAGGAATATGCCTTGGTGCATAGGCTCTCGGTGTACATAAAAAGAAAAGATACGTTCATTAAGAATCATAAAGTATAACTTTTAATGATGATCATGGGGTACAAATAGGCAAACAAATCATACTAGGAAACAGTCCATATAAATCGTAAGGATACAAGCAACAAAGTCATACAGTCATACAATCACAAGTGGGAGGGGATGGGTGATAGGAGTAATGAGAAGATTAATAATGATAGTGCAGATGTAGGAAATAGTTGAACAGTTGTTGTAATGACGAGGCAGTCGAGTTGTTTGATCATGAACAACTGAATCATGATGATCTTTATTGGAGTCTAGTCTTGCATTTATACACATTTTTAGTTTTCCTCCATCATTGGTTAACTTTGGTTACTGCTTAACTTTTGTTACTGTTTAGCACAGTAATTAATACAATTAATTATCTCTAGGTAAAGTCTAACATATGTTTACTTCCTCTCTCTAATCCTCCTTTAGATTAGTGACTTTGTTTACCTGAGTTGTATTTGCTTGGAAACATTCTTTATCTGAGGTTTGCCATCCAAGATTGGAACATTCCTGCAATTACAACTCTACACACAGTGTTGAGGGAATTATTTGTTTAGCAGAGTGATGGCGTTTGGGGAAAAACTGTTCTTGTGTCTAATTGTTCTGGTGTGCAGTGCTCTATAGTAGTGATGGACCTTTTTGGTGTGTGCTGAAAGCGCGCATGCATGCCAGCACTCCCAATGCAATGTGCCCCACCCCCCGCGCATGTGCATGCAACACCCCCCCCTTACTTGCACTGCGCATGTGTGCATTTCCCAGCTGTTTTTCGGCCCGTTTGAGGCCTTTTTCAGCCTCCCTGAGGCTCGAGGAAAGCCTCTGCAGCCTCAGGAGGCCAAAGAACAGGCCTTCCGGAAATACCAGCAGTGCCCATTTTCAGCCTCCGGAGGGCCGCTGGAGCCTGCGGTAGACTGTTTTCGCCCTGGAGCTGGGCCGTTTTTCAGCCTCCAAAGGCTGCAGAGGCTTTCCTTGAGCCCCCAGGAGGGCGAAAACGGCCTCCCCCGGGCTCCAGCGGCCCTCTGGAGGCTGAAAACAGGCCCTTTCAGTATTGGCTGCAGAGGCTTCCCTCAAAAAAGGCCTCAAACTGGCCGAAAATTAGCTGGGAGGCGCGTGCATGTGCAGTGCAGGTAAGTTTGGCTGGGGCTCGCATGCCTGCAGAAATTGCTCCACGTGCCACCTGTGCATGTGTGCCATAGGTTCGTCATCATGGCTCTATAGCGTCGTTTTGAGGGAAGGAATTGAAACAGTTTATGTCCGGGATATGAGGGGTCTGTAGATATTTTCACAGCCCGCTTTTTGACTCATGCAGTATGCAGGTCCTCGATGGAAGGCAGGTTGGTAGCCACTGTTTTTTCTGCAGTCCTAATTATCCTCTGAAGTCTGTGTCTGTCCTGTTGGGTTGCAGAACCAAACCAGACAGTTACAGAGGTGCAGATGACAAGCTGAATAATTCCTCTGTAGAAAAGCAGTTGGAGCTTTCTGAGTTGGCACAGAAAGAACATTCTTTGTTGTGCTTTTGAATGAATAAAAAAGGAATTATTTTTTTGAATAATGAATAAAAAAACCCAAATCTTGGTATGATTAATGTCTGAGAAAATCAAACTGGACTCTATCATTTCACAGATGGAGGTCAAATCAAAATGCATTGTTGGCTTGCTCACGTACATAAATTTACAATAAAATACATTTCACATCTTTTGCATCTTACATCCCATCAGTCACCCTGTCAATGTGTCCCACCACATTAAAAAAAATCCAAAGCTCATTTTTTTCAGAAAAAGACTTCTGTATATTTAGAGGCATTTTGGGAATCAGTTATAGCTTTAAGGACATTAACAACTGCAGCAGTTGATAATTCTTAGCTCTGTAACTCTTAAGACGAGTGAAAGGTTGCTGGGGTCGAAGCAAGGCTTGCTGGTGGGAATTTTGCTACTGAAGCTCAGACCAAAACTTATGTCCAAATAACGAGGGAGGGAGAGAGAGACGGTTCTAGCGGCTGCTTCACTGTGTTTTCTTACAACCTCCCAAGAAAAGTTCCATTGGGACCCTTCATTTCCTGGTTCAGTAGAGATAGCTAGAGATGGATTGCTCTGCCATCGTTCTCTGGTTGCCTTGGTGGATTCTCTTTAGTTAAGAGATGGAAGTCGCATCTCGCCCGGTCTGTTCAGTGCACCACCAATATATGCCACTGAGTGAGGTGCCCCAAAATAATAGACGGTGTGATGCCACTGAGTAGTAGGTCTTGACATCTTTAGTTACTTTTTCTTACTGTACTTGTTTTTTTTCCTTAACTTTTCTAGAATGGACAAAATTTTTGCATTCTGGATGAACAGAGATTTGCTAAAGAATTGCTTCCTAAGTACTTCAAACACAACAATTTGTCTAGCTTCATACGACAGCTCAACATCTGTAAGTATCAGGTTCTGCCTACACACTTTTGTTGTTTTCGGCACCCCGTGTCCATTAAAATGAAAAAAAAATAACCTCCTCCTCTACCTAAACTGGCAAAAAAATAAACATAACAAATTATTTTAATATTGAACAACCTAACTGATTTATGCAAATTTATGTACCATACGATAGCTATAAAGCAGTATGTGCATTTTTAAAAATTGGCATTTGGGTTATGAAGGAGCAGCTTCCTCTGAAAGGTTCTGCAGCTGCTTTAAAAGAGGCCCCAGGAGGTCTTGCTCATGTAGGCCACACACTGTTGTTCTCTGTGCTGGGAGGCAGCAGAAACACCATCTACACGTAGCTATGCCAGCTCCATAACCACGTCCATACATTAGGGGAAGGCCTTTGAAGTAGCTGCAGGAGCCTTGCAGAGGATGTAACTGCATTCAAGTTTTGGGGGAACGTATAGTACTGGCAGACTTCAAAATTCCCCTTTCAGAAAGTTTGCATAGCTCTTGTTTCCCAGTTCATATACACTTTCGTACCTGTAGGAAGTAAACTTCAGGGTAGAGTAGCTACATGGAGGCAGCAACAGCTGCCCTTAACCGCACCCTGTTGTATTATGTGCTCATTCTAAGGTGTGTCCATTTGGAG